GTCTTGATGTGGGCGGAGACGGCCCGAGACGTGATTGGTCAGATTGACGGTGGGGTTTGAGGCTGGAGGCAGTGGGGAGTAGCTTGGTCGAGCCAAAAAACTATTGATTTTTAGCAATCTTTTTACAGGCTGGTTAGGGATGTTTTAACAAGCCATATTGTTACACATCCTTTCACATGTATGACGTTCAAATTTCGTGCAGCTAGCACTTTCCTTTCTAAAGTTATGACTAAAATTAATCTTAAAAAACATGCTGCTTCCTGCCCAACTCGATCAAGCTACTCCCCGCTGCCTCCAGCCTCCTCAAACCCCACCGTCAATCTGACCAATCACGTCTCTAGAGCCATCTCCGCCCACATCAAGACCTCAGTCAATCACGAGCAGGGATGTCTCCGCCCACAGGACAAAACCTACTGCAGAGACCCCTTACTCATTTAACTTTTAGTTTTAAGTCATATCTTAAATGAGTTTTTGTTGTTGTTGTTTTTTTTTTTCTTTTCAACGTAGGATCCGAGCTGGAAAAAATCTGCGGTACTACGAGCGTGTCTTCGATAAAACAGGGGTACGTGAGTCGATCAGCCCTCGTGTATGTGGCCACTTTTGTTGCTGCTCCAGCTGTGAAAAGGTGAGATGGACCAAACAATCTTTTTTTTTTTTAGAATAAGAAAAAACAACAACAACAACAAAAAAAAGCAAAGATAATTAATGCTATAGTGGAAAATAGAGTGTATGTAAAGRCACCACATGGTTTCACTTACTTTCTGGTTTTGATTTCTCTCAGGTTGATGCCATAGAATATTACAGTGATAAAGAAAAGGAGCTGCTGGAGGAAATGAGACAGGAGGCAGAAAAAGTGCCAGACCACCCGCTGGGAATTGCTTTTGTCACCTTAGAGTCAGAGGCTAAGGCCAAGTAGTGAGTAGTTTTCCAATGTTTTTTTGAGTTTTTATTGTACAGGACTTACAGCTCATTGAAAATGTAACCTTAATTATAAGAAAAGTTTATTGATCTTACTCAAATTCCTAGTAATATTTAAGCTAATTATTTAAAACATTTGCTAGTTTTCTAYATATACTTAGCTCACAAAGTAAGGACATTTGTGTTTGGCAGATTATTTCTTTGTTGTAACAATAAATCTTGTACTTTTGGAAAGCCTATTAATTTCCCTTTTAAATGATGCCAYATTTGTAAGGAACATGCATTTGTGGGATGAACAAAAGAGCTGAGTTATTTTGCTGTTATTGACACTTATTTTTAGCTGCTGCCAGTCAGGTGCCCAACATATGATGTATTGCCTAAAGCATTGTTACAGCAAAGAAATAATCTACCAAACATACATTTTCTTACTTTTTGTACTGAGTTTATTGGTGCAATGTGTTCTGACAAGATCAGCTAAAGTGAAATAAGGTCGGTGAAAAATTTTTCTGAGAGCAGTAATGTCACATGAAGTCACTGTAATTAACCTTTGTTCTCATCCCTTCTTGTAAACATTAAAGTTGTTGTAACCATGTGACTTTTATATTGAGAGGAGGCCTCATTTCATAATGTATATATTAGTTAGTATATGGAGCTAACAGCTGCTGTTTACTGACCGCAGCATTCTGAAAGACTTCAATGCCATTAAGTGTGGAGGAAAGTGCTGCTGTGGGAGGGAACCACAGCCTTCTTCTCAAAGCCAAACTCTAAAAGTGAACAAGTGGCGAGTCAGCTATGCTCCACATCACAAAAGTGTGTATTGGTAAGTCCACTGTGTTTTAACAATGCCCAAACATAAGCATGTGTGTTTGAAGACATTTGTACTGTTGGCAAAATATCTCTCGAAACACCAAACAGATTTTAATGGAGCTTTTAGAAAGTAAACACTGGGTTAACATCTATAACTAAATCCTTTTTGGAGTCAACTCAGTTCAAGATGTCTGCCAGAGCTAAGAAATTAGATTTACCTAAGTAAATATGACAGATATTGTGTTGGTTTGGTGGGATAATTACTGACAATCATCAGATTGTTATTATTATCAGTCRGTCTATTTTTCTACCCTCACCTATGAGCACGAACTTTGGGTAGTGACCGAAAGAATGAGATTGTGGCTACAATGTGATGATACTAGCGACCCGACTCTGGAACAAGCAGTTGATGATGGATGGATGGATGGATGGATGGATGGATGGATGGATGGATGGATGGATGGATGGATGGATTTAAATGTCACACTCCTAAGTTTTACCGGCTGCAATATGACATGAGATTGATGTGCATAATGTTATTTTCAAAGTGTGACCAAAACATCTACAAGTTTCATTTCTCAACACAAGATTATTAGCTTTAAGCTCAAGAAAGCAGGTTACATCCATTCCTTCAAGGAATGCTAAGTTTAATGTTTAGTTTATTTTCTCATTAATTCCCTTTTTTTCATCTGCTTTTTTTTGTTTTGTTTTGTTTGTTTTATACCAAACAGGGAGAATCTTTCAGTGCGGGGCTTTTGTTGGGTCTTTCGTTACATGGGAATAAACATCTTACTTTTCATCGTGCTCTCTTTCCTGACGACTCCCACCATCATCATGAACACCATAGACAGGTTCAACGTGACTAAGCCTATCTACTATCTGAATGTGAGTCTGAAACATTGAAGTATCATTTTCATTTTCACTGTTTGAGAGTTTTGTAATCTTTAGTGTTCTTTTTTTGTTGTTGTTTTTTTTAGAGCCCTCTCATCAGTCAGTTCTTCCCAACTCTTCTGTTGTGGTCCTTCTCAGCATTGCTGCCTACAATGGTGTACTATTCTACACTAGGGGAGGCACACTGGAGCAGGTATTACACACACATTAGTAATGAGTGCACTGAATAGACTGTGTTACCAAAAGAACTTTTTTAATTTTACTTTACTGCATCTATCTCTCAGGTCCAGTGAGCAGCTGAGCATGATGCGCAAGTTGTACTTCTTCCTGCTCTTCATGGTTCTGATTCTTCCCTCACTGGGTCTCACCAGGTAATTTTGTTAAAGCAGTAGTTTAGAAGGAATGTTGCTTGACTTAAAACTTGTTAGTGAAGTCAACGTGCATCAAATTGCTCAAGGTCTGCACTTGGAATTTATCACTCCCTTCAATATTTTTCTGCTGTTCTGTTGGTGACTTCCTGCTGTGTTTGGGTTTCTTCAGATCACCACCACTCCATTACTGTTTGACAGCTGGTATATGTTGTTTACTCTGAGATACTGTGTTTGGGTGTTGCCAGATGTAGCGTCTGTGCCTAATGGCAAATACTTTCCTTTTGGTCTTGTGAGTCCAAAGTACATTTTTGCAGATATTTTTTTCTTTCTCTTACAATGCAAATTTGCAAATAAAATCCTGGTACAGTATTCAGTTTTTAGAGAGGAGTTTCTCCACATTATTTAGTGCTTTTTCTAATTTCACTGTCATAAACTTTAACATTAAACTTGCTGAATGTGTAATCTGTGATGTAGTGTTTAGGTTTCTTGTAATTAACTCTGAGCGTTGCACAACCTGACCTCTGAGTGAACTTGCTGGGATAGCCACTCCTCAGAAGGCTGGGAAGCATTTTCTTCTGCATCTGGGAAAAATCTCTCTCAGCGTTGAAGGACGGGCGCTCTGTTATTTAGAAATGGCCTTTTAAGGCTTCTCAGAATACTGGACAGAAACAGTTGCCTCAAAGTGAAAGGCTTTGATAAAATCTGCTTTAAAGAAAGTCTTTCAAACCAAGAGAGCAACTACTTAATTTATTTTTTGTATTACAACTGTATAATTATAAAAATAAACAAAAAATAAATGTTTTTTATTCAGTTACTAGTTTCAAGGTCAATTCTAAAAACATTTTTGTTTGTATTTTTTTTTTTTTTTTCAGTCTTGCATGGTTTTTCCGCTGGCTATTTGATAAAAAATTCATCAATGATGGGAAAACAAGGTTTGAGTAAGTAATCCTTGTTTTTGTTTTTTTCATTTGTAATTATGTTCACACTCTTGTAGGAAACGTACAAATTTATTAAAGCAGGAAATATTTTGAGTAGGATTATGTTAATTACACTGTGTAAGTCAAGGGGATGGACAACTTAAATTACGGACAGTGACACATTTTTTGCTGACACTACCAGAAGGCCACATAGTGCTGCACACTTACCCAAATGTGATAAAACTGCCWGAGTGCAACAAWRCATGTATCTGTATCGAASCGTTCAATATAGTGCTTTAGGTTCGATATACACTATGTATTGAAAAATACAGATTTTTTTTAATTTTTACTTTGTCAACTTGTCTTCTGAAGATGCTCTGTGTTGAAGGCTCAGTGGATCTGAGTTCAACTACTCCACTTAGGCTACGTTGTTGACCGCAGATCCACTAATAGTGTCGTCACTCTTTATTATGTACTTGTGACTTCTCATATTTAGCTTTGTGCAATGTGTTGAAAACATATTAAAATCTTCATGGTAGATAGTGTTTTGAAATTCTGTGAACAGATAGTCTGCCTCTCATTTCACCTGAAACATGAATTTTGGCGGGCCAGATGCACGTCACCCATGTGCCAAATGTGGCCCACAGTCCACCAGTTGCCCATCCCTGGTGAATGCACATACAGTGATGGTCTTGATGTTTTATTTAATTTAAACAAGTTTTTTTATTTATCTCACGTTTGATATATTTAATTAATTTGTGTATTTAGGTGTGGTTGTCATTAAATGTCTTTTGTTTTTTGTTTCAATGYGCCAGGTGTGTGTTTTTACCGGATCAAGGGGCATTTTTTGTCAACTATGTGATCGCGGCCGCCTTAGTGGGCTCGGGGATGGAGTTGTTGCGGTTGCCAGGGTTGCTGCTTTACGCCATACGTTTGATGCTGGCTCGTTCTGCTGCTGAAAGAAAATACGTCAGACAGGTTTGTATTGAATTTACTTAGATTATTGAATCGAAAATGGAAGCCACGTAACAATTTTCAAATGCCGTTTTTATGAAAAGACGCATAGACTCTGGGTCAGAAGTTTAGTTTTTGTACAGTATTATTTGTATACACTCAAATATCAAATGTAACTAACAAAATATTACTGTACTCTGTTTATAGCACCAGGCCTATGAGTTTGAATATGGAGCCATGTATGGCTGGACTCTGTGTGTGTTTACTGTCATTATGGCTTACAGCATCATCTGTCCTATTATTGTGCCTTTTGGTAAGTAGTTGATTACTGTCAACATTCAACTTCCAGTGATCTGTAACATACCATATTTATTCAAGTATAATACGTAAAATTTAATCCATAAAATCATGCATAAAGTTGGGGGGTAGCACTATACTCAGATCAATATTTTTGCTGATGTATTTTAACTGAAATATCGGCCTCATTCACAAAATCCCTGAGTCCAGAAATGAAACCACATCGTAAAAAGCGTTTGAAGCAATCTTACCTCTAACCCTCCTTTGTGCCTCCGAGCGAGATAGTAACAGATCCAAGCAATGAACTAATGATATTAATGTGCGACCGGGCTGCTCCTGGAACAACAACAAACACATGGCTGTCTGTAATGGCTGCTGTCTACCGGCATTCTGTAAAAGTTGGTCTACCTGAAAAAAGTTTCTCCACCAGAGGGGGGCGCAAACGAGACACAGAGGATGAGATTGTTGTTGAGTGGGATTCTGATGCCTTTATTACAGAGGAATACCAGAAACTTTTAATGATACTGATGAGGCTGTGCCTGATTTTGAAGGCTTTGATTCAGCTTCATCCACACTTGTTAGAGCCACATAGCTCTATCTGTTTGTTATATCACACCAGTTAACAAATGAGCATTGATAGCTTTTGTTGTAGTTATACATTATTTGTTGTGTACCTTTTTAGTACATATGTTAAAAGAAAATTGAAAGCTGATACAACAGTCAAATGATAATTTTACTGAAATATATAAAGACTGCAAAGGTTGAAAAATCCTGAAGTCCATATGAAATTAGAGGTAGTATGAGAATTAAATTTTTTATGCTTTTTAGGCTAAAAATAGTGGGGGTCATATTATACATGAATAAATACGGTAGTTCATGTAAGTTTTGCGGTGCTGTAACAATATACTTTGTGTTCGACTCAATCAGGTCTCCTTTACATGTTGCTCAAGCACCTGGTGGACAGACACAACTTGTACTTTACTTACCTGCCTACTCGCCTTGACCACCAAGTCCACCTGGGAGCTGTCGAYCAAGCTCTGGCCGCACCGATCATCTGCCTGATATGGCTTTATTTCTTCTCTGTCCTCAGAGCAGGTCAGAAAGAAGCTAGGCTTAAAGTTGAAGAAACTTGTCAGTGTTCAGGATCTTAGACATTCATTTCAGTGTTCTTATCCTAAAAAAATCATGTGTCGCTTGTAAATTACAAAATTAGATATGCTGTAACGTTCTCGACATGTTCAGATAAGATGTGAATCTGCATCACTGATGTGTGTGTTCGTTTTTTTCAGGTTTCATGACGGCTACATCTCTGTTCACCTTAGTCGTCTTGTGTGTCACAGTCTTCATTTGTCTCAGCTTCACCTGCTTTGGCTTTTTAAAGTACCTCAGCCCACATAACTACGAGGTGAGTGTTGAGTGTGTAAATGTGCCATTGCTGCTGTGTCGTCCTTCACACTGTCCTCGTTTTGTTTTGTTTKTTTTTTTTTTTCTCAGGTCAAAGAAGAGGACAATGATACAGCAGAGAGAGTGGAAGAAAATGTTAAGGTAGAGTTTTCAGGCTTGTTCTTCAACAAATTCCTCAACAATTCCCTGATGATCAGACACACTTCATGCTGACCTGAAGTGAACTTGTTTGTGTGTCATTTTGGTCATGCTAAGGATGTTATTTATTAAAAATGTCTATCATCATTTCTGCTTTCGCTGCCATAAAGAGGGAAGATATTCTAAAATCAGGGTTCCCACGGGTCCTTGAAATCCTTGAAAGTTTGTGAATTTGAAAAAAACAATTTCAAGGGCCTGGAAAGTTTGTGAAAACAGCCAAAAATTACACTTGTCCTTGAAAGTCCTTGAATTCTCTATTCACATGACTGATTTTCATCTTTTAAAAATTAAATTATAAAATTAAATTGTAGGAGGTGAGCTTAAGGTGGTACTAASCTTCTCCCACATCTCTCATACACAAGGTTATGAGGAAATATTTACCAAGGTATTTCTCATTACTTGTTAATATCTTGACTGTGCGAAGTGAAAAGTGACACAATAAGTGAACGTTCAGACGAGTTCAAGTTGATTCATAAAAGACTATGCAATCATTTATTTACACAAATTGAACAAATCATAAGTGCACTTGATTGTGGGTATTCTTATAACAAGCGTCAGAGTTAAATGAGATAAAACCCGCGTCCGAATTTCAGTTCACATCAACTTAGATTACTTAAATAGAACAGTAAAACGTCAGTTCTGATGTTAACAACCAAACAATTTTACTGGCACTTTCAGCTTAAGTTTTGGCAAATAAAGACAAGAAAAGGAGGAAAGTAAGGTTAGTAGGTTTCTACTTTTACTTTATCAAAGTGTGGGTCAACCGGATCAGCACGTCTTTTCTGCGCTCAGATTCCACATGACACGTCACTCCAAACACATCAGCTTTACCTGGTGATGGCTACTTAAGACACCCTCCGGGTAGGAACTGTCTCACTTCCGATCAGTCAGGGAACTGATTATCGGCTCGCTCACTGGTCATTGGCGAGTAGGTGTTTTTCCAGGTAACTTTTCRTCTGTTTCAGTCCAAGCCAGAAAAATTCCAGCTATCATCCGCTCCCTTCTTTTCAAAATAAAATCTYCCCTCGGGAGGTAAAACCCACTTAGAGGCTTGAAGCCTCAGGGGTGGGACCGCCAGCGGCGTGCGGGGTCCTGGCTGTTAAGTATTCCCTAGCTCAGTGTTTCCCAAAGTTGGGGTCGGGACCCAAAGCGGGGTCCCGAAAAATCAAGGTGGGGTCCTGAAAATATTTTTGGAATTAATGACATTTTTGCCTTAGTTGTTGCAAAGGAGTGAGGTTAGTGTATTTTAAAATGGATAAATGTATTACAAAAATATTGTTACTATTGCTATTGTTTAGTTGACCTGATACAAATGTTTATCATCCAAAAATAGTTGGGGCCACAGGTCTCTGCTACTCTTATKTTGTGGGACAAAAGCTGAAAAGTTTGGGAACCACTGCCCTAGCTGGCTCATGGGCTAAGACTTAACAAGCCAAACTGAGTTCCTCCAGAGAGAGAACGCAGCCTTCCTCGGTTGGAGTCAGGAAGAAGAGTGTGTCGCTCAAAGCCGTCCGGGTTTGTAAAAGAAACGGACGATCTTTGGTTCCGCCCTCAAGCTTAGAGATGAGTCAGAGAAAGAAAGATAAAAGATTTGCCAGGGCGCCAGCCCAAGGTTAAAATTCTATGGCTGTTCACAACAGGATGATAACCTTTTTTCTGCTTTCTTCTGATAGACTCTAAGAGAAATCACTGCAAAACATTTATGATGATTAATTAACATTTCTGTTTTAATCAGTTCTGAACCGTTCCGTTAGTCCAGATAAATGAAAGATTTTCTCAAGAAAAATCCACAATTATATTACTGTGTTCACAGTAAAATAAAAACAGTGATTTACATAAAAACACAATGAAAACCTTGTAATGAGATTCTGTGATTTTTTTATATCATTATTAATCTTTTAGGCACGATAAAAGAAAAGAAGTGGTTCCACTTTTCTTGTGACAGTCATTATCATGATTTAACAAATGCATAAACATTCTCAGTTAAACAACAAATGAATCACGAAGAGAAGAGATTGTTCTGTCCATTTTCTGATTAAGAGAACTGAGGGGTTCTCTTCCACGGTTAGAATTACCTGTCATGGTCTAAATAGAGTTCAGTTTTTGACAGAGTTCCTGTCCTCTTATCAGGCCTGTCCGGGGCCTGCTTCGAGGCAGTAAATCTTGTTTCTTCACTCGAGGTGACCCCTACAAAATTTAAAAATAAACTTACATTTGTTGCGGTGGATAACTCAGGATTACGGTAAACTGATGTAATTTTTTCTGACTCAACAACTTCTATGTTGTTCAGTTTTTCATTGAATTTACATGATATTAAACCTGTTTATTGGTAACATTCTGCGATAGCAGTAGGTAATTGCCATTGCGCGTGGTTCTTTAATTTGAGGAAATTGGTACTGCAAAGTCCTTGAAAGGTCCTTGAATTTGATGTCGACCAAGGTGTGGGAACTCTGTAAAATAACACATTAAGGGGATTAAATAGCAAATAACTGGCTGTGTATGGTTCTTCCACATGCTTCTGAGCCCACTGTTTCTTAAATGAAATAATTATTGCCAATATGTCATGTTTTTTTTTCTTCAAACTACAATCATCCAATCCAGTAAATGACACTAACTAAGGGCCAATAGCAGAATAATTTGTTTGGCGCTGTCAGCGAAGATATGACAAGTTTTTCATGAGCGAAATCCACAAATGCATTGTCCTGACAAATGTGGCACCATTTAAGGAGAAATTAGCAGGCTTTCCAACACTATAATTATTGCCAAGAATAATTCTTTTTTCAAATAAATAATCAACCAAACACAAACTTACTTACTTTTTGTGTTTATACAAGAGAATAAAAATACCACACAAAAAGTAAAAAATGACAAACTCATAATTATCATACTGTTTGAACACATCATTTTTCTCTTCACAGGTTTACCTTCCAAGAGTGCTTAATCCCAAATCGCCTGCCAAAACCTCAAAAGTTCCTCGACATACGCAGACCTACGGCTCTACAGAAGCAAGTCCAGTTCACGGCTTCAGCCCGGTGAAGAGCACCGAGTCGGATTCCTGACTTGACGTATTTCCACCCTGAATTAAAGCGAGGAAGTCAAAGTGCCTAAATCTAATATTCTATATAATATAATATATTCTATGTCTGCTTCCTTTGAAAGCAGACACTTTCACCGAGACCTTCACTGTGCTCACAATTCAACTTTCATCAGAGAAAGGTTAAAAATGCTGTTAAATTTGAAACAATTGCTTTTTTAAAGAGTTTTTATTATTATTATTATTATTTAAATTATATTTAGATGAAGCGTTTTGCTTTTGAGCAAAAAAAAAAAGGCCCACACTTTTTATATAGTGACAAAGCACAGTTCAGTTCTTGAGACTTCCTTTTAAAGGACCAATTTGCCAAAACGTGCCATGTAGATCAAGCCACAGTGTTTGCTTCAGAATAATGTAATCCATTTATTGCACATGCTAATGATCAAACCAAAGGCTGGATGAGCACAATCTGCCATTTGTTGAATATTCAGTCAGTTTTGATTGATCTAAAGTACTTCTTTGATACATTAGCACCTGCCAAAGGAAACATTTAGTATCGCATTTTTGTATAGATTTTATGTATTTAATAGATTATTCTTGTTGAAATAACAAGACTTAAGTATTTTGTAAGTTATACGCGGGTTGCAACTTATGTTTTTGTTATGTTTGATCGTCTTGTACTTTTAATTAATGAAAAAACGTTTAGCCGGGTCAGTGTTTACTTACTTTAAATGTAATCAGGGTTATTTTTTTGAATGTGTACAGCTTTATCTAAATTGGTTTTTAAAGGATTACCTTGAAGAAAAGATTTATTTTTGATGCAGGGTTGCATTCCTTGAAGTAAAAGGGATTTTTTTTAATGTTTTGAGGAGCTTTAGTAAAAGGTGACAAAGAGGTCTGTCTTAATTCTGCTTCGAGTTTTAATGCAAGTTAACTTCAGGCTTTGTTTTGGCATTGGGGGGCACTGTTGAGCTGCAGTCARGCTGTGTAACGTGGGAAATATCCCCAAAGCTGTAACAAAAAGGTCTAATCCACAATGTTGCATTCAGATTTTCTAACTTACTCCGACACTGGTATGAGCCAGTTTATTGGGTTACAATTCCAGCAGCTCCACCTCCTCACCTGATCCTTTTACCATTGTTTCCTTTTCACTTCACTTTTCTTTTTCATCCCCTTTCTCTTGTTTGCCCTTTTCCCTTTTTCTCACCACGATATCTCCCTCAGCAGGGAAACACAACTGTTGTCAAATAAGAGGCTTTTAGGGTGCTGCAGTGATTAGGACAGATGTTAAATATGGGTAATGAAGAGCCACAGCTTCACATTAGGGCTTAGCTGAGGTGAAAGGGGTTTAGATGAGGCTGCTTTGAAATTTTTGGATAAAAAGCCAGTTCAGGAGCAGAAATAGTCATGGTGTTTGCAGTCATTAAGGAAACTACTTCCTTTTTTTTGCCATAATGCAGACCTACACTCACCGGCCACTTTATTAGGTACACCTGTCCAACTGCTCGTTAACACTTAATTTCTAATCAGCCAATCACATGGCGGCAACTCAGTGC